TTAGAAAAGCCAAATATAACATTTACAGGTAATGACACATGAACATGGCAAGCTCATATTTTTTTTAAATCTAACAAATAAAATACCTAGCCTTGTATTAATCATACTATTTAAACATATTTCAGTAAAGAAAAAATTACTGAAATGCCTTACTCTTTTGTTTTCAGAATGTACAAATAGAGAGAAGAGTGATGATGAGAATGATGCTAATAATGTCAATGCAAGAGAAGAAAAGGAGAATGAAGCTGACACTGAAAATGATGAGAGTGATGGAGAAGAAAATGAACCTGAAATTCAAGGTTTGTTTGGATATAGATCTAAAATAAAGTTTTTAACATTCAAACATAATTTGTAGGTTTCTAATTAATGGAAGTTTTATTTTCTCACGATGTAAATCAATATGCATTTCTCACTTCGAATTAAACCTTTATGTAAAACAATCGAAATTTTTTATTAGTATTATATGTATAAAATTGATAAAACATTCATAATATATATAATTTTTTTTATATAATTCATTACTGTATGTTTTTAACCAAAACTGTTCACATTTTATAAGGAACAAAAAGCTCACATTGTATAGCAGTTGTAAAGTTTTGTGAATATTATATATTAATAATATTAATATTTTTATTTTCCCATAATTAAGTCGATATCAACACTGTTGATTCTTCAAATTAAACTTGTTATTTTGGATGATTCTAAAATACATAATGCATAGCTTAACAAAATATGTCTTTCGATAAATTTTAACTGCTTGTGTGTTGAACAGTATAAAGAGTACCTTGTTTATTTTTTTCTAATTTCTGAATAAGGAAAAATTACTGAAATGCCTTTCTCTTTTGTTTTCAGAATGTACAAATAGAGAGAAAAGTGATGATGAGAATGATGCTAATAATGTCAATGAAAGAGAAGACAAGGAGAATGAAGCTGACACTGAAAAAGATGAGAGTGATGGAGAAGAAAATGAACCTGAAATTCAAGGTTAGTTTGGATATATAGATCTAAAATTAAGTTTTTAACATTCAAACATAATTCTTAAGTTTCAAATTAATGGAGAGTCAGAGGAAATAAGAAAAACAAAGTAATTTAGATGAGCCTGATGCAATAATAAGTGCTTGAATCCCTAAGCACGAAATGAGGTAAAAAAAGTTCTACAGCACCTTAGTAAACCTATACGTATACACACACCACTCAATTCTTATTCAACACCAGAGATAAAAAAAAGTAATACCCCTGTGTGTATACAGTATTTACTTGTCAAAATGGAAATTAGAAATTCTGAACTTTACAATAGAGTACTTGATAGCAAGAAATTACACAAATTCTAGTACATTTCAGTCTGTGGTTGGTTTTTAATTTCATAATCATTTACAAATTTTTTTCTAACACTAGACGTCTATCTCATTTGTTAAAACTCATATTTATTTTTTATATTAATTTATTATAAATGACCTTCAGATACACTTAAAAATGAAAGTGTTAAAGTTAAGGCATTTAAGAATATTGCAGTTGATAAGAGTGAATGCTGTTAATGATAGAATTGAGCCACCTTGTAAAATAATTTTTATATGTTAACGATAATTATAGTGATAATTAAGTAGTGACAATTTGAAGTTCATGACGGTGATTGCAACATTCAGCTTGCATAGATTAAAAGAATGACAAAAAAAAAAACAAATGTATTCCTTAGTATGTGTAAAATACGTAATATACACTATGATACAATGACAAATAGTTTGGTAATTAAAGGTGTAAAATCTAGGGTAAAATAAATACATTGTAGGAACAAAATAAATGAAGAAAACGTTCTAATTAATTTTTTTTTTTTTATTTCAGTGACGGATTTAGAACAACTGTGCGAAATTGTTGGAGTTGTTGAAACTGTTTCAGGTAAGGCAAGACTTTTTTTATACCTTTTTTCGCAAACCTGCCGGTCCAGAAAATATGGATTTTCAGATATTTAAAATTGAATTATTGGTTTGTTAGCAAACTCACCACTAAATGAAAAAACCTAATTTTATTTTTATTCTGCCCTTCTCCTTAAAAACAAGGATTAAAAAAGTTTTGCTCTAAAAGAAAACTTGATTGGGCAAGAGTCTTATACTTAGGTTTTGTGAACTCTGATTCAAAATAAAACTAATACTGTGTTTTTGTGAGCACTCACTTTGTTGAAGAATTATAGCAAAGTAAAACTGAAAGTTTTTTTTTTAAATGTTTATTTCATTATCTTCTCAGTAATTATGAAAATTATACATAAATTTGCCCTTTAACTTAAGTAAATCTTCCACCCACTCACCCATCCACAAAAAAGATAAACTTGCTTGGTAAAACTTTGATTTCAACAATGGTATCCGAAAACAAATTTTAACCAAAATTATAGTATGATCAGATACAAAACCAGTACCTTTGTTAGACGATGAATCTTTATAATTTACCATTCAATCACTCTAATGTGTACTTTTTATTTTATTACAGATGTCTACACTGTAGAAGAGATAAGGAAAAAGAGGCGAAGAAAAGGCAAAACAGAATACCTTGTGAAGTGGGAGGGATACGAAGAATGCACCTGGGAGCCGTATAACAATATTCCTTATAGTTTGAGAATGTCAAAGTTAAAAAAGAAATTTAAAAAAAAATGGTTTGCGATGGATTACAAAAAAAAATTCTTTTTTTAATTCGTTTTAATTAGTTGGTAATATATGCTGTGAGAGTTTCCTTTTGCAGTATTACAGTGTATAATAAGGCCTAAAAAATTGTTATGTTGCCCATGCCAAGGACAATTTCAAAAGAGGGTAGGTTGTTCAGATTTTTTTTTTCTCCTTCCTAGACCATATATACACATATTATAGCTGTTCCATTTACGACTACGTAAAGTTTGCCTAGGGCTAGCCTATTGTTAATTTACTAATAAAATACTTAAATATGACAAATCTACAGTGATATTGACCATCTATAATTGTATTCAAAATTCATTTTACCACATCACTAATTGATTTCCAATAATAGGTACAAAATTTCTAGAGCACGTATCAGGGCATACAATGTTGATTCTGACTTTAGAACAAAGGTATTTTCCCTATTCTTCGTCACTTTACACTATGATTCTAAAAGAGAACACATGGTTTTAGAACTATTTTAAATGTCTGTTTTTGTAGTGTATTTAAATTAAAAATCATATCCATTTTTACAAAACAATTCATAAAACAACTGATATTATTATTATCCAACCAATAAGGGAATAACTTGCAAATTTTGGCGTCATGAAGGTTTTAAAGTTAGCGTAAAAACTCATCTGTGTTAGTAATAAAAACCTTGTATTGAAAAATTGAACTTATGTTCTCAACACATGAAAATTGACGTACCTCTAATTTTCAGCTGACTACTTCAGTCTTCTTCAGTACATCTCCTAAAGAAGGCTGAAGTAGTCAGTTGAAAATTTGAGGTACGTCAATTTTCATGTGTTGAGAACATAAGTTCAATTTTTCAATACAAGGTTTTAAAGTATCAGTTGCCAATTGTGAAGACGGGAGGATCTGTCCAAGACTGGCATACATATGCAAAGATTTGGCTAAATTTTAAGTTACTCTCCCGATACTATTTAATCATTTTCCATCAAAATATTACTGACAGTTGAATAAATGCATTTGATTTAAAAAATTTGAATTTTTAATTTTTCATAAAGCAAAAAAAAAAAAAAAAATTAAATGTTATGGTCAGTCGGGCTTGGGGAACATAACAATTTTTTTTAGTCCTAATGTAAATAACAACTGTT